AGAGAGAGAGAGAGAGAGAGAGAGAGAGAGAGAGAGTAATTTGCCGGACAACTTTTAGTTTAGGTTTATCCTTAGACTCATGTATTGTCTTAAAAATAATTGTTTAATGTTTTCCAAATTGCATAATGTTTTAAATATGCAGTTAATTGTTATAAACGGGAATCTCATTAAACTAACCATGAACATTGCATTTTGTAATATTTGTTTAACGTGAGACGTGGGTTTGTATAATTGTAAGAATTATATATTTTATTTAAAACAAATAAAGTTAAACTACAATTTATCTAATTTTTAAAATAACAATTAGTTATTTTAATTACAAGTTTACATGTTATGAATGCTAGAAATGATGTGTTGGCTTATGCCATAACATTTAATAGAATTATATTAAATATGGTCATTCATAATTAAAATTTTTTAATTATATTTGCCGACGTCACAATATAAATTAATTTTATGTGCATATGTAAACTAACATGGCACACCAATTTACAACACTTGTCACTCTATTGATAATAGCGGCTTATTGTGACCATGTTTTTGTATTATCATTACCGGGACCATTTATTGATAAACTTAAAGGTAAATTATTAAACCCAAGATAATGTAATAAACACTTTAATTACTCTCTCTCTCTCTCTCTCTCTCTCTCTCTCTCTCTCCATATCATTAGAAGTTGCCAATATGACCAGACAGGCTGACCAACTTATGAACCAATTTAACCGTCGACCTGATCCAACCACGACCACTCCTACTACTACTACAACAAATACTACTTCTACTATTACTCCTACTATAGATGATGATAAAATAAATGGTAGACTAGTATCACAAACGGTAAACAAATTTCTCAAGTTTCGCAACATGACCAATTTCAAACGTTTGAGCCCGTTGAAACTGGACAATTTGGCCATTTCAGAACCAATTTTACCCTAAATATGCATATTACGTTTATTGAATACAACAACAATGTTTTTAGCATAATTTATATAGAGCTGTGTTATTAACATCTATGTTTTTATCATATTAAAAACAAAATTGTATTAAACTTTTATGTGTATGAAATAAAATATTTAACAAAAACAAGTGTTAACTTTATATTTGCTATGGTTAGTTATATTAGGTAAGTTTAAGCTTTGTAAACTATTGGATATATTGGCTATACAAATTTTTATTTTTATTTTATAATAGTTTGTCAGTTTTTAATTAAATACAAAATGGCTTTGCTATGCAACACGTGTTTAGCCATTGCGGTTATTTCATATCACCAAACTAATTTTATTTTATGTCTACCCTTAGCTGACAAACCAAAACCAGGTAATTATAAATTTGTACTAATATCACTAAGGGTCTATTTAATTCTATAGTAAATTAAACATAATTAATTTTTACTAGCATTTGGGACAATACAAGACCCGTTTGCGGGCGTTGCCGACAAAGAGGGCGATAACATGATACTGGCGGCACCGGTCGCACGCAAACAGCGCAAAACATCCCAGCTAATTAATGATCAAAGCAAAAAACTAACAGTTCAACCTGTTATAATACAGCCTGCTCAACTACTACCGTCAAATAACCAATACCCAGCCACATATCAAACAAACCAGCCTGGCCAAACCCAACAACAACAACAACAACCACCGCCACAATACATAACGCAAACTACCGCTGGTCAGCCTACTGGGGCGGTGGCAAGTGGAGCCGGCTCGTGGACCGGCATAAACCTAAACACCATACCCAGTATGTTGCGAAAATTGACCAACTCCCGGTGGGGGCCATTCGCTCTATCGCTGGGCCCGGTGTCGCCCTACACCCTGATGGCCAGTTTGATGAAGCTCCTGTACCAGATGTACCAGGGCCTGCCGCCGCTGTCGCGCGTGGTCGACGACATCGCCCAAACGATAGCCGTGTTTCAGCCCCTGTACGCCAAACTGCCACCGCTGTCTAAAGTGATCTGGGACGGTTGGCAGTTGGCCCACATGATTAAGTCATACATCCCGGACCCGCCCCCGAGTATTGTTCAAAACACTATGAGTCAACCTATTGGTCAGAGTATGAGTCAACCTATGGGTCAAATTATAAGTCAACCTACGGGTCAAATTATGAGTTGATATAGCGGTCAGGCAATGGGCCGTGATACTGGGCAAAATCTACCATAGAGACAAAACATATTACCCAAAAATTTACCCAAAAATTTACCCAAAAATTTATATTGTTAAATCGCGTCATTTCTGTTTAAAAATTTAATTATTGTAAAAATTACACGTTGTATCATTTATTCTGTTTTTATTATCGCTATGTTAAGATTAAAAATTTTAATTAAATAATTAAGCTACATGTTGTTGAAAAATATTTTTATAATTCATCATTTTAATTATAAATTAACATTAATGATATATGAATATTTGTAGTCATTAAGCATAGTGTTGTAATTGAATTAATTACTGAATTTTGCCTTTGCGAGATTTGTTTACCATAATTAATTTATACGCATTAAAAAGTTGTAAAAAACATAAATATAAAATTGTTTTATGCACATTATAAAATGAACATGGCAGCGATATTTAAAACACGTGTCGCGCTATTGATTTTAACGGTTTATTTTAACCATGTTCTGTTATTATCATTGCCAAAACGGACTTACCATACTCTTCCAGGTAAATTATAAAATATACAACGATAATATAATTATACTAATCTCTCTCTCTCTCTCTCTCTCTCTCTCTCTCTCTCTCATTCAGGTACTGATGACGACATAGAAGAGATAGCTCAACTGAAAAAACACGCTAAACCCCCAGTTACCACACATACCACCTCGTTCATATATCAAATACCAGATCAGGTGAACGGGCAAACACAACAGCAAGCGCAACAAAATGACCAGGGTGACAAGGCACCCGCCATCCGGGAAGTTGCTGATAAACAACCAGATAGTATATTAATGCCATCAGAAGTAGCTAGTACCGCTGATTCATCTGATCAGCAACAGTTACCTGCCCAGGTCATTAAGGTACTGCGCCCTAATCAGCGACAAATAATCAAGGTTTTGCAACCTGGTCAGCAACAAATGATTAAAACCATACAACCTGGTCAGACTATAATGATGGTTCAACCAATGGCCGCTGGATCAAAGACACCTGTGCCACTTGACATAGATCACGTAAACGGCTACATCGGCCAGTTGGCTAATAAACAGTGGGGGCCCTATCAAGTAACCATAGGGCCATTCACACTGTACCCGCTATACGAAAAAGCTCTAGGTGCCATGAAATACGTATTCGCCCATATGCCGCCGATGAGCAAGGTGATTCGCGACACGCTTAGCATGGCAGAAACACTCAAGTCTTATGTACCACTTGGCAATTACCTGGCCAATACTGCACAACAAGTCATGCCCGTTCAGGTGCAACAACAACAGCAAGGTGGTTATCAGCGAATGTACCAGGTACAGGCGCCCCATTATCAGCAGGTATCACTACAACCAATGCCATTGCAACAGCCACAGGTGCCCCAAGACCAGCTCGGTTAATTTAAAGTAGACTATGGTATCACGCGTGTATTGATTATTATATAATAAATAAAATTAAAGTAAAGTAAAATTGATAATTTGTGACATATTTAATCATTAATTTAAAATATGGTTGAATTAAACTTATTAAAATATTTATAGGGGTAGTACAATCCCACCATATAATATTTTGACAAGTAAGCATTAATTTTAGTAATAATTTTTAATCCATTACAGTTTATAAATAAAGAATTAAATAATCAAAACAATATAGAATTATCATTATTTTATCAATTTTATAAAATCAAGTAAAAATTTTGTAATTGTTTAATACACTTATTTGAATAATAAAATTATTAAATTGTATTTGTAAATTTATAATACATTTATACAAACAGTTTTAAAAATGTCATATTCAAAAATCTTTAAATATAATTTAAATTTTAAACTTTAATTAATACTATTATAACAAATATATAAGCAGGTATAAATAATAGTGTACTTGTGAATTAAATACAATGTAATAACTTATTAAACAATTAAATGTAAATTATACATTAGGAATTAGCTTGATTTTTATTTATTTTGAAGTTACATAGCCAACAGTTTATCTGTGTTTTTGAATAAATGATTTTTAAGTCTATTTTATGTTTAATTAATTTATAAATAACATTTATAAAAACCCCACTACGAGTGAAATACTATTTTTTAGTCCAGATTTGCTCCCAGCCTTTTGCTATTATGCAATATATTATGTAAAATAAATATCACATTGATAAATAATTTTGAAATCTCGTATATATATAGCAATGTTTATTGAAGCTCATATATTTCTAATGCATAATAAAAAGCCATTAAGTTTTTTTTCTGTTTATGGTATTAATGTTTTTTATATAACTTTATGAATGTTATTTATAAATTAATTAAACATAAAATAGACTTAAAAATCATTTATTCAAAAACACAGATAAACTGTTGGCTATGTAACTTCAAAATA